AGTGCGAAAATCTGCATTAGGTAAAAACCGAGAAAATGTCATTTTTCTAGTTTTTTCAAAGGTTTAGTGTGGCATCGTATTCCTCCACTGCCAAGGGAATGTGGCATGAAGGAGCATTTCAGGAAGATGTTAGCATAAACCGAATGATTTCGTAAATTGATTAAGATTGGCGTGACCCGGTACAGTTGTCGTTGTGCGCATTGAGAATTGAGGTCTATGAGCATGTTATTTTTTTTCCTTTCGTCGGTTGTTTTCTGTTTGTATGTGCGTATTTCATTGTATAAGAAGTGTATTTTGAGTTTTTTTTTTGCTTGGCGCATTGGTTGGTTTTCCTTGTTGTGATGCACATTGAAAGATTGCCCTACAGTAAAGGAGCGCACCTGTTCAGTTTTGTTTCGTAGTATACATTCGTGCAGTGTATTCTGTATTGGTGGCTGCCGTACACGGCTATTTCCTCTTCTTGTTTGTATTGCGCCTTGATATTGTTGCGTGTAACTGAAGCTGGTACTCTAACAATTTGTTTGTTTTTTCTTTTGTTGTTACTTTGATGCACTCTGCCTAGTTATGTTGTGTATGAGAGGGACAGCCGTCATGTCTCCCTTGTTGGTGGTGTTTTGTTCCTTGTTGTCGAAAAAATTCCCCTCCGTGTGAACAAATGTTATGAATAACATTCTGAAAGTGGGGGGCAAGGTCACGGACGGCTATTTTTGGCGACGCCGCGTCACGGCAATTAACGGGCGCCGTACTCCCCAACTGACCGTGAGAAACGGCGGCACATGAAAGGGAACCGATAAGTGCAAAATGGGGTGCTCTCCTTAGAACGTCGCCGCCGACAGTTAATCCTTTTGTAACTGTGGCGACGTCTGCAAGGTCGTAGAAGGCCGCGGTATACCCCGAACAAGGATTAGACTACAAGACGCGCCGACTGAGAGCTAAGTGGTTGACCGTTCCCACGGGTAAAAGCGTGGTAAACGCTCTGGTGGCCAAGCCGTATGACAACAACCCGACAGGTTGTCACTCTCGCTAGTTGCGGGCCCTCTCCCAATTAAAAAGGGGTGGGGTCGAAATATTTTTGGGGCGGAGTTTCCCATCAATTAAACGCGCATGATTGGACCCAGGTAGAGGCCCCTTGTCCCCAAGGAAGAGAGCGAGGAGACATGAGAGGGATTTAAGCGCAGGATTTTGCCCTGCTAGGCAGACTAGTCGCTGACCAAGATGGTGTAGAAACAGATCAACAAGCATCTCTTCTAGAAGTTTTTAGTGTGGCTCTGTATCGGCTGGCCCTCTAAACTTAGCCGTTCGTCTAGTTGTGACGCGATATTAACGTCTGCAACGTAGACATCGGGACTTCGCCTCCAGTTAGCTCAACCTGCTCGAAGTCACCTGCAAGCACTAGCCTCCCGGAGCCACCAGCGTTGCAACACCGCCGACATCGCAGTCGTGCCAGAACTCTCTTCGACTTCTCGCATCCGATCGTCGGGGACACAACGCTGCCGGTCATCACACGTATGCCTTCACCTGTTTATATCTTCGAACTTTCTCCTCCGTCGTTCTATTCTTGTTAGTTTGTGTAGTTTGTAATAGTTCTCTCTCGTAAGCTGATTTATTGTTTCTGTTATATATTATTTAGTTGTATCAAGTGTTGCTGTATTTTGTTAGTTGTATAGAAGTGTTGTATTAGATCCCGTGTGCTGCAATATCACTAGAGTAAAGTTGTTTTGTTTTCTCACGTCTCTGATCTCTTCACTGTCTCTGCTTGCGTACGGAACGAACCAACCTGCTGTCATTCCCGTCGCCAACTTCGCGCTGGCGACGCTAGAGTGGCAGCTTGTAACAGCCACTCTAGACGAACTACCGCATGACAGAAAAAGCTATAGCGCGTGAAACAACGCGCGACAAGCTACTATCAGTATTGTGCGACTTGATTTGGCACGGCTGGCCGAAAGCTGTTGCTTAAGAACTGCAACCATTCTGGGTGCGGCGGTTCGAAGTCTCTGTTGATGCTGGTTGCGTTGTTTGGATGAATAGAGTAGTTATTCTAAATTGTTTGCAGGTAGTTGTCATAAATCTGCTGCACGAACAACACATCAGAATCGCAAAGATGAAAATGGTTGCAAAGTCAATGGTTTGGTGGCCAGGAATCGATGATGCATTGAAAGAAACCGTGCGAAAATGCAGCGTTCGTTAAAGCGTACAAACAGCAGCACGGCTAGTGCCTTTGAGCCCGTAGAAATTGTAAGAACACCCATGGGAAAGGGTGCATTTTGATTTCGCCGGGAAGTAAAGCAAAATGTTCCTGTTAGCAGTTGATGCTTACAGTAAGTGGCTAGAAGTTAAAGTATGTAGCACGACGACTGTACTATGACAGTGGCAGTGGTTCGATCTTTGTTTGCCGCGCACGGACTTCCTTTAGAAGTAGTAACAGATAACGGGCCGTGATTTCGGGCTGATGATTTGCAAAACTTTCTAAAAGCGCAAGGTTTAAAGCACACGTTCACACCCCCGTACCACCCGCAGTCCAACGGGGTGGTGGAGCGGGCGGTACAAACAAGTAAGACAGCCCTGTTTAAACAGTTGTTGGAGGACAAAGAAAAAGGCAGTGCAAGAACACTTCAGCACAGAATAGATAACTTTCTGTTGTGCTGTCACACAACTCCGCATACCATCACTGGAAAGACGTTGACTGAACTTTTTTTGAGAAGACAGTTGCGTAGCAGGGTGTCTTTGGTGCGGCCGCATCTGACAAGGGCCATGACCGAGAAAGTAGAAAGGATGAAACAGTCAGCCGATAAGCGCAGAGCGAAGCCGCGATATTTTGGGGTTGGTGGCCGTGTGATGGTTTGTTCTGTGCGAGGAGAATCGGTGAAATGGCTGCCGGGAAAAGTTACGCGAGTGAAGTCCCCAACTACGTATTTGGTTGTTATTGGAAACCAAGTGCGTTTTGTTCATGCTGATCATTTACGACATTCTGTGCTGGACGACCAAACCCCACGTCGTGAAATATGCCTGACACACGCCTCCGAGGTCGCCTTTCCTCCACTGCTTGTGGTGCAACCAGATCATCTGAGTGAACAAATGCCGCCAGACTCGGGGTTAAACAATCATAATAATGAAATTCCTCTAAGACGGATCAACAGGGAAAGGCGACCTCCTGAGCGTTGGGGTTAGGACTTTTTTTTTTTTTGATCTAGTGATAAAGGAAGTGTTGCGTTGCTATCTGCATTACGGCGCGTGAAAAGCATCGCCTATGAACAGTGTTAATGACGTCACCATGTTATCGCACATGCGCCAGTGGCTGGTGGGCCTATATATCCTGGCTCTTGTTCTGTTGCTGTGTGAATCGTTGCTTTGTGCTGCCAGCACGCAATGTCGTTAATAAAGGTGTTTTGTAAAGCCTTGGTCCTTCCTACTCGGCGTATGCAACAGAGCCCATAATTAAAATTTGTGCGCTGGCGTCAATGAGGGCAGTAACGGATAGGCCATCCAGATCTGCAGCAAACAGGTTGTGGCTCATAAAGACAGTTTTCAGGTCGGGAATCCAATGCAGGGGGGGGGGGGGGCTTTGAAAGCTGCATTGCTCACTTTTCCGAGTAAGGGCGTCCAGTATACGGGGCAACGAATAGCGATGGGGCTGAGGTCACCTGGAGCGATGATCATGCGGGGACGGCGAACGGCTAGAACATCCGACCGATGTCGCAGGAGCCTCATCGCCTGGTCCACCGCACGGGTGCCAAACATGCAAGGGCCGGTGGTTGTCGTTCCATCGATAGCCTGAAAACGAGCGAGGGGGAGAGGTGTGAGAATGACTGTAGCGAGTGATATATCCTAGACCATGGAAAAGAGAACATATCGGCTTGTCGTCCCGTGTTCTCCACAGGACAGGGTCATAATGGCGGCAAAATTCTTCCGGTGCACGAGAAGGTGTTATGGTACTGATACGAGATTCCGTCAACGAACATACGGGCTGCAGTCCGGCATTCACCAGCAAGACCTCAATGAAGTTGATTTAATCAGTAAATCATAGGCTGGCAAAAAGTAAAGCTCACTAAGACTCAATAATGATATATATCTTGCGCTTTGGACTCACTCGGACTCTCCGAAATTTTCCTGAGCTGAACTCGGCTTGGACTCACACTCTTGAAAATTTTCTTCAATCGAGGCTTACTCGGATTCAAACTCGCCGAAACACAACCCACATGGACTCAGTCAAGCTCGCAGTTCGGTCCGAGTGAGTGGACTGAAGAGTGTTTCTATTTTTAGCTTTTTGGACCATGGTGTGAATTCTTCACGTAATTCATGCTTTTCTTGGCGCCTTTTATTTTGGTTTAGTATCTTCGAATACGAGTTATGAGTACTTGCGAGTCAGTAAGACCATTTTTCTTGAAAGAAATGACAAGTTATATTTATCAAGAACTTGCCTGGACGAATTAGTTCGGGGCGCGGTGGGGGGCGGGATCAGGGCACCCTCTTCCGTAATTCGTGCCTCTGATCAATAAATATGAAAATGGTGTATGTGCCATTTACTGCTTTGAATTACTTGTGAATATACACGATTACAAAGCTGAATACAGGTGAGGCTGGTAGTAATGACGAAAATGAGTAGATGGGATCAAAGGTTGGCCAAAAGGAAAGTGGAACTCACCCAGATTCACTCCAGAAATATATCGTGCCCTTCAAGATCACTCGCACTCGGACTCACTAAAATTTTCCTGAGTCAAACTCTCACTCACGAAAATTTTCTGCAACCGGGCTGGTAAGACTCGAACCCACCACCATATTATTCACCTGTACTTACTAAGCCTCACGGCTTCATTTGATCCTGAGCGAGTTTGCCGAAATATGCAGTCAGTATATGTTCCTGATTTCTATAAGGAAGAAAATGAAGACGTGGACCAGTGCGTGGCCGTGTGCTCGTGGCATGCCAGAAGAAGACAAGAAGCTGAGGAGGCCTGTCGCTCGTCCCGCTGATCTGGCTTGGTTTTCTTAGCGCATCGTCAACTATGGCCAGCGAGACCGATCAGCGAGCTCAACAACAGACGGCTTCGAAGGAGTCCCCACCTTCACAGCACGCAGTCCTGGATCCGGCTGCTCGGTTATCGGACGACACTTCGAGCAAGCAGGTCAAGCTGGCCGAAAGCTCCAACGTGAGTGGCCTCACACCTTTTTCCACACCAAGTAGAGACGCGTGGTAAAAACAACTCGGGAGTCTACTGTTTTAAGTGCATCGCATTTTACGGGTCCGGCCTGTCGATCCACTGTCTCATGTCACGTGCTCACGCAGTGGTCAATACAGACAATCGAAGAATGAAACAAGGCTAGCAATGCTCCTAAACAGCATAAAATAACTAAAGAAGGTCGGAAATATTATAAACTACAAAAATGAAAAAAAACTATAATTACGGTAATTTACCTAAAATTGCGAAAAATCTATCTAAATCATCCAGCTGATAACCAAGCTGCGCAAGAGATGGCGCCACTAACTCTGCAAGCGTGCGATATTAAGGTAATTGCTGCGTTGCCCGTGCTGCGCGCTTCCACGGGTTTCGCGCTGTGTAGTCGAAGTTGCATTAAACACGTGATTTACAACTACACCAGGACGTACACAATAATAGCGTTGGTTTTAACTAACGCCTCAGGCCAATATTTTAGCGTTGGATTGATGGCAATAAGCTTTTTTTCTGAGCACTTTAGGACAGGGGCGTAGCCATAAGTTTTCCAGGAACGGGAGTCCCGACCACAATTTTTTTCGTTGCGCATGTGTTTGTACGTGTGCGTATACACATACACATCCAAACCTGAAATTTTTCGGGAGTCTGCCTCGGTGGAACAGTAGCCAAGGTGCTCGGCTGCTGACCGCAAAGTCGCGGGTTCGATCCCGGCCGCGTCGGATGCATTTGGTAGAGGCCCCTGTACTGTGCTATGTCAGTGCACGTTAAAGAACACCACATGATCAAAATTTTCGGAGCTCTCCACTGCGGCACCTCCCATAATAATATTGTGGTTTAGCGGCGCAAAACCCCAGATATTATTATTAAAATTTTCCGTAAGGGAGGTGCATTAGGCAGTCGGAACAGTAGCTCTTGTACACTTGTTTCCTCCACGGCAAAAAACATGAGGCGCGAAGAGCCTTGTGCACTTGAGCTGTCGGAGTTTGCTCTCGTTGTTGCCTTTCACGATTAAGCTAACAGTCCTCTCATTGCTATTGACGTGCACCTGTGGGAAACACCGGTGCTTTTCACCTTCCCAGGTTTCACGTTAACGGAGCTGTTTTAAGGGCGAAGCTTCTTAGGGTTTTGGCTTGTCCCTCGTAGTTGTCTGTCGTAGCTATCCCTAGTACTCGCATTGTGCACTAGATGGCGCTGGCATCGCTAGTAGCGAAATGGCTCAGAAGATCGCGTTGGGGTGTACTTGCTGCGTTGGAAACGCGTGCTTCTATGCGCGCTTGTGTGGTAGGAGATTGTTAGGGGCCAGTGCTATAAAATTCGTTCACTCTTGGCGCGCTTGCTCTTTCACCGGCGGTCGGCGCTCTTGGGAGTACGAATGAAGAAGTCAAGGTGAAGCGGAGACCCCGGAAAGCGGCTGCAGCGCGCGCTATTCACCATCAAGACCTAGTACTGACAAACTTTTCACTACAACCCATGCTGGAACCACTCTCCCTTCATTTTACCGACCATAAAACCGTTATAATGAAGGGTGAATGAAAAAATTACGGCTCACCGACACCACGTTTCTACAACTCGTTACGAAACAAAAACCACGGCTCTAGGTGTACTTAAGAATAATAAAACATTACGTTATGTATGTACAGTGTTTGTCACGTTTTTAAGTGATGATCGGCTTGGCACGATTCACGGATTATTCACGGTTTACTGATGTACCTCAGGAGCATCACTCACTCATCATCATTCACCCCGTAGATATTGACACAATGCGACTTCAAATTACGCGCGCTAGCCGATACTTGTGCTCTCTAGGTGGTTTGCGACGCACGAGTCTGCGGGACACAGCTGCGCGCGAACTGTGTTGGAAAAAAAGAAGAACGTAGAAGAAGAAGCATTCAGTGAATTTGAAGGATTTGCTGACAACAACACTGCCTTACTACTTCAAAAAGGGATCTGCATGGCACGAGGCCTTGTTAAGTTACGTGACGGATGTGCAAATGTTCTACTCACAAACTTTGGAAATGAGGTGCAGCACGTTGCAAAAGGAACCGTCATCGCCGGTCTGAATGATTTTGTCCAGGTTACGGAGCTGCGCACTTTCGAAACCAGTGAGTCTGATTTCGAAGACGTGGAGTCTGTCCTTGCAGCCATCGACATCGAGCCAGGCCTATTACTAAGCGAAAAATAGCAAATAGAGGGTCTTTTAAGAGAATTCGCCGAATGTTTCTCGTTGTCATCTAAGGTTCGACGCACTCCTATCGCCAAACATCGCATCATTGTCGACGAGTCAGTGAGGCCAATACACCAGCATCCCTACCGAGTGTCACCAAGAGAAAGAGAAGCTATTGGTAATCAGGTTAAAGAAATGCTCAAAGACGATGTAATCCAGCCTTCATCAAGTCCATGGGCGTCACCTGTTGTTCTTGCGAAGAAAAAAGACCAAACCTTAACGTTTCTGCGTTGATTATCGGAAGCTGAATGCCGTCACCAAACGAGATGTTTATCCTCTGCCAAGAATTGATGACACTCTGGATAGGCTGCTAAATGCCAGGTATTTTTCCTCATTGGATCTTAAAAGTGGGTATTGGCAGATAGAAGTTGACGAAAGAGATCGCGAAAAGACAGCGTTTGTGACACCGGACGGTTTATACGAGTTCGAGGTACTCCCTTTTGGCCTTTGTTCAGCACCCGCCACATTCCAACGGATGATGGAGACAGTGCTTTGTGGTTTTAAATGGTAGTCATGCCTGGTTTATCTCGACGATGTTGTAGTCTTCTCTGCTACCTTCGAGCAACATTTGGAAAGGCTCCGGGCCATGCTCACTGCGATCAAATCAGCGGACTTGACGATAAAACCGCAGAAATGTCATTTCGGCTTCCGTGACCTCCTTTTTCTCGGCCATGTCATCAGTGCAGAAGGCGTCCGCCCATACCCTGCAAAAACTGAAGCCGTAGCAAGATTTCCGAAGCCAACAGACAAAAAGGCTGTTAGGCGATTTTTAGGTCTCTACGCCTATTATCGGCGGTTCGTTAAATTTTTTTTACGAATTCCTGAACCACTGACGCGGCTGACAAAAGAGGAAATGCCTTTCGTATGGCTTGCCGAACAAGAGGATGTCTTCAATGAACTACGAAAGTTACTTCAAAGCCATCCTCTTCTGGCGCATTTTGACGAGGAAGCGGAAACCGATATCTACACGGATGCAAGCAATTTAGGTCTTGGGGCCGTGCTCATCCGATGGCAAAACGGACAAAAACGAGTCATTGCGTATGCCAGTCGCACTCTTTCGAAAGCTGAGGGGAACTACTCAGCGACCGAGAAAGAATGCCTTGCGGTGGTTTGGCTATCAGCAAGTTTCGACCATATTTATATGGTAGGCCTTTTTGAGCTATAAGTGACCATTATTTGCTATGCTGGCTGGCTAATCTCAAGGACCCATGTGGACGGCTTTCACGATGGAGCTTGTGATTACAGGAGTATGATATCATGCTTGTGTACAAGTCAGGTCGCAAGCGCAGTGATGCGGACTGCTTGTCACGTGCTCCGATTCAACCTGCTGCTTCTGCTTCCACCGAGGATGGTGAAGATTTTATTTTTTGGAGCTGTGACACCATCAGAGATGGCACATCAGCAGCGATCCGACCCTGAGATACTCCTCTTGATCAAGTACCTACAAGGACAGTCTGTCGATGTTCCACGACCTTTTGTCCCCGGCTTGTCAGCGTTCGTCCTACGAAACAACATCCTGTATAAAAGGAACTTTGACAACAATACAGCGACATTCCTGCTTGTCGTACCTTCATCTCTGCGACCAGAGATTTTGGAGGCTTGCCACGACGATACATCAGCTGGACACTTAGGAGTAAGCAGAACATTAGCACACATCCCCACTAAATACTACTGGCCGAAGTTGCTAAGCTCTGTACGACACTATGTCAGAACCTGCCGGGACTGCCAAAGACGTAAAACGCCACCGCTAAAACCAGCAGGTCTCCTTCAACCGATAGAACCACCAGAAGCCCCATTCACACTAGTGGGAATTGACTTACTGGGCCCATTTCCTACGTCGTCATCGGGAAAACAGTGGATATAGTTGTGACCGAATATTTAACCAGATATGCCGAGACAGCGACTCTTGTTAAAGGATCAGCCGTTGAAGTAGCCAAATTCTTCGTCTCCAACATCGTACTGCGGCACGGAGCTCCAAAAGCGTTGATCACGGACCGAGGGACTGCATTTACGGCCGACCTGATGAAATGTATTATGAAATTGACGCACACCAGTCATAAAAAAACGACGGCATATCATCCTCAAGCAAATGGTCTTACGGAACAACTGAACAGAACGCTGGCTGATATGTTGTCAATGTACGTTGATATAGAACACCGTACTTGGTATAAAATATTACCCTATGCAACATTCGCCTATAACGCTGCGATGCAAGAGACAACACGGATGACGCCATTCCAACTTGTTTTTGGCCAGATGGTAACGACACCTTTAGATGCAATGTTACCTATTGACGAGACGCCCGAGAATTACTATGACGTTCACGACTACATACAAAGAGCAGAAGAAGCCAGACAGCTGGCTCGATATCGCATTCTCCAGCAGCAGAAAACCGACACACATCGATACAATCTGCGAAGAAGAGACGTCCAGTACGCACCAGGAGACAGAGTATGGGTGTAGATTCCTGTACGAATACGTGGCCTGTCAGAAAAACTGCTTCGCCGCTATTTCGGTCCGTACAGAGTGCTCCGCCGCGTCGGCTCGCTCAACTACGAAGTTATGCCAGAGGGACAGGATATTTCATCCCGACGGTGGCATCGCACGGAAACTGTGCATGTCGTCAGGATGAAACCATATGACGACAGGCAATGAAACGCCGAAGATACAACGTTCTTTGACGTTAACGACATCCCCGACGAGGGTTTGTGAATGACTGCCATGCAACTAGTTCGACACAAGCATCGGGACG